GTTAGACAGGGGCTCCGGGAGCAGAGTGTAGGTCTCAGAGCTCTTTAAGCCAAAGTGGGGCCTGCTGCATGTAGAAGACCCTCTGAGCTCCATCCCATTTCTTTGGGTAGAGGGGCTGAGGCCTCTGAGGGGGGAAAGTGAGGTCAGAGGTTTCAACAGGGTCAGAGTGTCAGAGAAGCAGGAGGGCTGAGATCTGGGGCTTCTCCTCCCTTTCTGGAGAGGGGGAACGTGTTGTACTTGTATGACCTCAACCAGGAAACCCAAAGCTTGTTAATCTTGAGCACCTGCCAGAATCTTGGCCCTGGTTCTGGGCATGTATCGCCAAGTCTTCAGGCTCTGAATCTTAGAGCTTGTGGAGGAGGGAGGTGGAGGGTTGGAGGGAGAGGTGGGATTCCAGGTACATTGGGTTCCCTCTGCCATCATGGACTCTCCAGGCTTCAGGTGGTGGTGGCTGGTGACTCTGGAGCTTCTACTGAGAGCCAGACATATGCACCCTGTGTTATGTGTATTATTTCATTTAATCCTGGAGCAGTTCTGCAGGGGCAGCCCCACGCACAGGGAAGGAACCAAGGAAGACCTGTAGCTGAGGCGGGATGCATATCAGTGTGAGATGGACTGGGCCGTTGCAGGGTTTCTGGGAAGAACGCCCTTCATGGGTCACAGAGTAGAGGCCCAAGAGCTTCTCAAACCCATTCCCTTCATCCAGAGCTACCAGGAAGCAGAGCCTGGGGCTCAGGGAGTAACAGGAAGGATGGGAACAGAGGCCAGGATGCTCCACTCTGAGAAGCTGCACAAAATCACCCTGGGAAGAAAGGGGAGAGTCCCTCTAGTTGCTCCAGCCTGCTGTCCTTTTGAGTTTCACATGACCCCCAGGGCAGAGTTCTCCAGATGACAGAGCTGCAGGCGGCTGGAGCAGGAAGCATGTGAGGGGGCGAGGCGAGGCCTGTGCACTGTCTCCTATCTTGTAGCAACTCTCACTGAGGCCTGAAAAGGCTGCAAGACATATACATCGGTGGCTGAAGCAGGAGATGACCAAAGTCACCTGCTTCCCAGTCCATTGAGGTGGCTGTGGTGTGGGAGGCAGGAGGTGGTCTGTCCTTTTATGCACATTAGACAGAGAATCCAGCAAATGCAGCGGGATCACAGCCCTGTCTAGAAAGTTCTCAAAAAAGACGCATGTACCCAGGATAAAGAATGGTGGGAGAACCAAGCCCAGAGTGTCTCTGGAGGGTGGTGCCAGGCCTCGGCTTAACACTGGCCACTCCCAGAAGTGGTGGGCGGTGCAAGGGTTGGTGAGATGGCACAGGCCCTGGGTGTTGAGCAGAGCCCAGGGGCCCAGGCAGAGTAGCATGACGAGTAACTGTGCTACGCATCCCAGTAGAGCCAAGCCCGAGCTGAGACAAACCACCTCCTAAGCTTGCCAGCAGCGGTTGCCAGAGTAATCAATACCCATTGTTCTCCCAGACATGTTCCTTCTGCACTTTTGGCCACAGTGTTCCAGGGATGGCCAGGTGTGGGCTTACCTCGTGTGGATGGGCAAGACTTAATGGGATCCGTTCCCTGTTTGCTCTACCACATCCTCTGGCGTTGGGGCCACTGAGTGAGGACAGATGTACTGGATCAGCACAGAGAGCTGGCACCAGGCCTATGAGAACTCAAGTCCTTGAAAGCAGGGTGACCTTGGCCTCGGGCTTCTCTGCTATTGGAGAGAGGTAATCATATGTGGTGTCACTGTCTCAGAGGCCTGTCCTAAAGGATAAGAACATTCCTGGGAAAAGCAAGGAGCAGGAGTGGAATGCAGTGTTCTGGCTTTTCTGTCCCTGCAGGAAGGCACAGTGCCTAGGGCCAGGAGCATGCTGCACAATCAGACTGTCCTGGGGACACACTGGCCTCTTCCAGCAAGGCCTGTCTCCCTCCAAGCTGCAATTTTCTCACTGTAATGTGGCTCCGATAAAGCTGGTCTGCAAGATCACCGGGAAAGCTGGAATCCCACATGGCCAGCTTAGCATTGGCCAGGAGAATAGTGATGTGGACACGGTGGTACAGGCACACCCTTGAAGAGCCCTTAGAAAGGTGGTTTCCCAGGCCAGAGTAAGTATCATGGACAGAGCTGAAGCTGAATCTTGTGTGTGCGTAAAGGCCCAAGTCAGGATGCACCTCTTCCAGTAAAGACCTCTTGAATTCTTCCAGCCCTCACCAGGGGTCCTCACAATGGGCTGGAATTTTTCCAGCCCTTACTGTGGGTCCCTCCTTTAAATGTCTGGATCTCATGTCATTTTCTCCATGTTTTAAAATCCTTAATCACTGAAGTGGGTATTTGTCATCTGTGTGGGGCCTTACTTGAAAGTAAAGCCCTGTTGTGTGAGTACTGGTAGGAGATAAGCTACCCACTGTCCAAGCTGAAGGGGACTGACAGTCCCTACACTGTTTCTGGGCACATGGGTAAGGGACACCCCTGCCTGGGGGACACTCAAGTAGGAGACGTGAAACAGAGTTCAACTGCATTTTCCATGCAGTGCCCACAGGTACCAGCAGTGGTCTTGGTGTCCAGTCACCATGGTGGACCTCACCTAGAGGATCCTGGGGCTATGTGTTTGCTTTAGGGAGTCCATTGGCTCATGTCCATTTCATAAGCTTATTCTCCCATCTTCCTGTTGAGTTCTGAGCACCTCACACCCAGAGTTGAGCTTCTGTTGTTTGCACCCAATACACACATTTGCCTTTGCATGGTACCAACTGTTCTAGGTGAGCACCTAACCTTGTCCCACTGGACTATGGTCTCAGGGACAGGAGGTTGCACTGCACTCTGCCAGACCTCAGAAAATGCCTCCTGGTACAGAGCAAGTGGAAGGGGTGCTTGGACTTGGCCTTCAGACCCATGTGGCATAGCACCCAGGTCCTGCCACTTACTGAATTGGGACTAAATGCAGTTATTCAATCTCCATGAGTCTCAGTTTTCTCATCTGTAAAATGTCCATAAAGATATTTACTTCCCTGGTTCTGGAGGTAGAATTGAGGGTCATGCTAAGTGAGAGGGGGACTTCAGCAGCTCATAAACCATCCCCTCATGTTGGGACTGGCCAGTAAATGGGGACAGGGACAGGGGACAGGTTGAGGCACTCCAGTATTGACTGGGAGTCCAGCTGTGAGGAGCTATGGCGGACAGAAGCAAAGATCTGGTAATTAACTCTGGATTTCTCTTGGTTAGACTTTCATTTTACCATGTTTAATGAATGTGTGTGATGTGTGTGTGGGGGTGGAGGTGCTGGGAATGGAATCAGGGCCTTCCTGCACATACAGAGAAGTGCTCTACTGTGGAGCCACACCCAGGTTCTTAACATTTCTTGATTGATGGCTTGTTGGAAGATAAAATTTCAGTCTTTTCTACGTTCTCAGCCTCTGCTAGGATTTGGAAATAGAACTGAATCTGTGGGGTGTGGGGGAGACAAATGCATACTGCGTTCATCATAGAGTCATCTGTGTTAAAATAGTAATTTACAAGTGCATACAATCATCTATTCAGTGCCTTTCTTATGCCAAGTATTATACAAGTGCCCTACATACCTTATCTCACTTAATTGTCATGAAATTCTCAGGAGGTTGGTGGTGTTATAAACCCCATTCTATAAAAGTGGAACTAGAGGCATAACAACCTGCCCAAGCTCATATGGTAAGTCAGTAGTGGAGCTGAGGTTTGACCCAGATGTGTCTGACCCCAAAATCTATTACCCAAACCACTGCTATATACAGCTTTGACAGAGACAGACTCTGGGTATTAGGGACATCTGAAATGGCCAGGAAAGTCAAGGAAGACTTCGAGGAGAAGGTTGTATATGTCCAAACATTCACAAAGATAAAGAAGATCTGAAGAGGCAGATTGGAGGAGAGGTGCCTGCCAGAGCCTGAGATTGTCAGGCCACAGGTGCTTTGGGGCACTCCCAGGCAGGTGGGTCTGGTAGAGTACGAACTGTGAGCAGGGGCAGCGTGGGGACAACTTAGCTGTAGTGCTAGACACCCCTTGGGGGCCTAAATCACCTAGTACAGAAGATGATTACTGCTTATCTTTGGATTTCCATACCCAATGTGGGGTGAAATGAAAACATCTGATTGAGACAGGGCAGATGAAGGAGCTTGGTATTTTTGGATTTTCCCAGCAGTTCGTAGGTGAATACTTTCTTTCAGTTTGGCACAGTTGGATTCCTGTCCTGGTGAGGACAGTCTTTCAGCACTGATGACTCTAAGCAAGGATGGGACCTGAGTCATCCTGGAAGTGTGTCAGTGTGTGACATCCTCACCTGACTTCACAGCTGTTGGGGAAGGGAACAGCTGAGCAAGCGGCCTAGTGGGCATGGTCCTGGATTTTACAGCCAGGCTCACTGGCAGAAGTCATTTTCCTTCCTGAAATGTTTACACAGCAGAGATGGTTATTGCTTGGATTTTAAAAAGTTTTGTAGCTGGTTATAATTTTTGACATTGGAAATGTCCTCATGCATCACACAGCTGTCCAATTTCCTGAAGAACCAAGGAGAAAATTCCCGGGGCTGTCTGCAGCCACAGAAGTTGTCATGATGCCAGACCACAGCCAATGTCACCATGGACAGCTCTGCAGGGTCAAAACTAATTATCTGTGCACTCACTCATTCATCCATTTATTTGTTCTACTTGCTCACTCCTTATTTGTGACCCTGTCTTTGTTCTGGTAACTATTTCTCTGACATCCTCTCACAATCTCTATGAAGAGGAAAGGCCAAGAAGGGAAGTTCTCTAACACCGCCTCCCTCTTTCTTTTCTGCATTGTTGGCATTAGCACCAAGCATTTCACATGTTGGGTAAGCGCTCTACTCCTACACCCACAACTCTTTCTATTTTTGAGACAGGGTCTTGCTAAATTTCCCAGGCCAGTTTTGCAACTTGTGCTCCTCTTGCTCCAGTGTCCTGACCAGCAGATACACAAGGTGTGTGTCATAGCACTAACATTCCTTCTTAATTTCTTTCATCAGCTTGTCTTTCTCAGGCCAGACTTCAGACATGGGTGAGCAAGGAAGACAGAAGACAAAGCATACTGGAACTTCAGAGGGACACATGTTGAAACTACTTATGGTCTCTTTATGGACAAAACAGAGGAGAAAATGTTAATGTGTCCAGGTAGGTGTCCTTGGAAAGTTGCTTAATGTGTGTGAGTCTCCATTTGCTGCAGCCTAGAGAGTAAGAGTACGGATAGCTGTGACGTATTAGGTGTGCATCTCCTCCCAGAGCTTTGGTGAGCACAGCACTGCATGATCTTATTCGGCTTCACGATGACCATATAAAGTTGTTCATTCAGCCAATCCTTTCTTGTCCCTGAAGAAGAAACTCTTTTTCTAGGTCACAGCTGTCTGGACAATGGAATAATCTAGCCCCCCCCAAAGCCTAGCACTTAATAGGACTCAATATGTGTGAACCGAGATTATTGTTATTTGATAATTGGGTGGAGATTTAGCCGATTCATAGCTTCACTCAGGCAGGATGAGTGATGGCTTGGGAGAACAGTGAGGATATCTCTAGAGGTGTCTAGGCTTCAAGTCTCTCAAGGTAGGCTGTACATGTGCTTTGTCCTTGTCCCTTTCCTCCATGAATGGGATGGGGTTGTATGCACACATTCATGAGCTTTGTGTATGTCTCAAGGCAGGCTGGAACTAAGAACATGAAATGGATAACAGAGCAAATGTAAATTCAGTAAGATCTCAGCAGGCAGTAATGGAGAGCCACATTTAACAAGAGCCACACTTAGCAATTTAACCATGGTAAATTTATGATTCTGTCTTTATAGTTCAGTTCAATTTAACAAGCATTTATGTAGTACTATATACCATATTCCATATATTGGAGATGAAAAGTTACATAAAGAGCAATACCTACTCTTAATGATCTTCTTTCCCTTTAAAAAGTGATGCCTAAGTGAAAGGTATCGCTTTGCCATCCTGTCTTCCCTCCACAGACTCTCCATGTCCTTGGTGGAACCAGTTTTTCTATTTTCTTCTTAGCCTCTGCCTTAGTTACTTTTCTCATTGTTGAGACAAAATACCTGATGGCCAAAGTTAAGGGAGGAAAGGTTTATTTGGCTCACAGTTTGTAGAGATTTCAGAGATTTAGTCAGACTCACAGTTTGTAGAGATTTCAGAGATTTAGTCAGCTGGCTCCAAGGCAGGGTGGCATAGTAGACAAGCATTGCAGAGGAGGAACAGTTCATGGTGGGCAGTAGGTAGCAAAGCAAACAAAAGACCAGACAAGCCTCTTTCTGTCCCTTATATTGTATCCAGGCTATCAGGATTAGGGTGGTGATAAACCAATCAGTGGACTGATTTAGTAATCACCCATCCTTAATCCTAGCATTGCACCATGAATCAATCACATATTCTAGATTAAGCCACCTTTTAGAAAGTCCCTGTGACTAATGATGCTGTGGGGGGGACATCTAGACACAAGCTATGACAGCCTCCACAGAAGCTCACAGGAAACACAGAAGGACTATGGCGCTAGACAGATTTCCTTCACTATGACAAAATACCGGAAATAATCACTTAGAGGAGGAACAGTTTATTTTGGCTCATTGCTTCAGGTTTCAGTCCATGGTTGGCTGGTTCCATTGCTGTGGGCCTGAGGTGAGGAAGAACATGGCAGAAGCATGTGGTGGTAGCCAGGTGGTAGCTGCCTCATGGCAGCCAGGATTCAGAGAGAGAGAGAGAGAGAGAGAGAGAGAGAGAGAGAGAGAGAGAGAGAGAGAGAACTAGCCAAAGGAAAAGGGGCCAAGGCCAAATGTAGTCTCCAAGGCCATGCTCCATGATCCCTTCAACCACCTGTTTGTGTACCTCCTATAAGGTTATCAAATTATAATCTCCTCAGTGGAGTGATGAAGTTAGAGTCCTCATAACCTCATCACTTCCCTAAAAATCACTGGTATCAAGCTTCAACACAAAGAGACATTTGGGAGACATACCACCCATGACATCCATTGATACTGGTCTTTCTTCTTGGCTGTACACACATGAATACCCTCTAATATGGGATACTTCTTCACATTATAATTTTTGGTGGGAAACAACTTCATGCTTAAATTTTCCCATCTTTGACTAGTGGGGTCTTTCTTATTTATGTACTTATTATCTTCCTGCCCTGCCAGGAATTGAATCTAGGGTCTCATAATGTGCTTTGCCACTGAGCTATATCCCCAGCCCCCTAGTATTTAACTCAGGTTGACTTCTAAATACATTTAATTTCATCCTTGTAGTCCTTAAAATTTAAAAAAGTGTTTTTTAAAAAGAATTTGAGAGACTATGAGGAATACAGAAGACAAAGAATATATATGTATAGCCAAAACAATCAATATAAATTTTCCCAAATTAAAAGACTTAAAACAAAATGACAACCTACATTTCATACACAGTGAAATTGATCCAGCAGGTCAACAGTGAGACTTATAGTAAGATCATTGTATTTTGAAGACAAAAATCTTTGAGAAATCCAGGACAAAACATCAAGGCAGTAGTCCAACATGATAGAAACTAGCCACATGTGACCATTAAAATTAAAGTTACAAATTCAGTTCCTGTCACATATGATAGCTAGTGGCTACCATGTTAGGCAGCACAGATGTAAAATATTTACATCACCACAGAAATTTCTATTGATGGCTCTTCTCTAAAGAAAAGTTAGATTAGCATCAGACATTTTGTCAGAAGCTTTTCATGCCAGAAGGTGATAGATGAGCAGTGCTCTAAGGTATTGGAAAAAAAAAAAGAATATATGAGTTAAAGAATTACTTCTTGCCTAAACAAAGGCAAGGCAGGGGACGTTGCAATTCCTGACTTGAAATTATTCTACAAAGTTATTTTGATAAAAACAACATGGTGCTGGCAAAAGAACAGACCTGAGAATCAGTAGAATAGATTAGAAGATGCAGAGACAACCTCAAACACACTCAGTCACCTTATCTTTGACAAAGGAGCCAAACATATTAACTGGAAGAAAGATAGCCTCTTTAATAAATGGTGCTGGCAAACCTGGCTTTCCACTTGCCAAAGACTAAAAACTAGACCCATTTCTATCACAGTGCACTGAAGTGCATCAAAATGTGTGAAAGACCTAAATATTAAAACAGAAACACTCAATCTTCTGATAGAGAGAATAGGCTGAACTCTTGAAGACATAGGTATAAGCAAAGATTTCATGAATAAACCCTCATCTCACAGGAAATAATGTAACACATCAATAACTGGGATCTTATCCTTTTAAAAAGCTTTTGCACAATGAAAGAAATCACCAACAGAGTGAAAAGACAACCCAAAGAGTGGGAAAAAGTTTAGCCAATTGTCCTTTAGACAAAGGACTTATATCTGGAACATAAAAAGATTTGGAAAAAGTCAGATCCCCCAAATTTAAAGATCCAATCAAAAAAGGGGCATCTGAGATGAATACATACTTCTCAGATGAAAAAATTCATATGGCAAATATATAAATATATTTTAATAATATATGAAAATAAATATATGAAAAAATGTTTAACATCCTTGGTCATTAGAGAGATGCGAATTAAAGCAACACTGAGATTCCATCTTACTCCAGAAAGAATGGCTATCAACAAGAAATCAACCACTAACAAATGCTCAAGTGGCTGCATGGAAAAAGGAATCCTTCTGCACTGTTGGTGGCAGTGTAGACTGGTGCAGTCACTGTGGAAATCAATATAGCAATTCCTCAAAAAAAATAGGATTAGAGGTACCACTTTACTCAGCTACTCCACTTCTGGGTATCTTTCCAGAAGAATTAAAAGTGTCAAACCACAGCAATATATGCATACCCATATTTATAGCAGCACAGTTTATGATAGCTAAATCATGGAAACAACCCAAATGCCCATCAACTGAGGAAAGGATAAAGAAGATATGGTTTTTATAGAATGGAGTAGTACTTTCAGCCATAAAGAGGAATAAATTAGAGGTATTTCTAGATAAATGGGTGCAATTTGAGACGATACTCTTGTGTGAAATAAATCTGACTCACATATGTAAACATCTCATTGTCTTCCTGGTGTGAAAAACTGAAAGAGCAAGGACCAAAATGTGCAATAGCTATTGTGAAGTGGGAAGAAATTGTTCAATAAGAAAGAACTATGTGGTGGAAGAGGGAAAAAAAGGAAAAGAAAAGGGAAAACAAATGATTAAAAAAGGATACAATGGAAACAAAGCTTTCTAAATAGGGGTGGGAAGATGGGTTGAATGGAGGAGAGGCAATTGGGAAAAATAGAGAAATCAAAATATATCATGTACAGATACAATTTCCCTATGATGAGTAAGATGTTTATGTATATCTAAAATATACCCATAAACTTCATTATATTAAAAAAGATTACTTCTTGACAAATGGATCTTTGAGTATAAAGACAGCAAACTGTTACAAATACATAAGAACTCAGGGAATATAATTCACTTGAGCCCTGCCTGAGACATCTACTAGGCATGAGCCTTAGGCAACCAGTGTGACTGGAGATAAATCCACTGAGTGGATTTGCCACTGAGCTATATCCCTGGCCCCCTAGGATTTAATTCAGGTTGACTTCTAAATATAAGGAGTAATGTTGAACATTAAATACATATTCACCTAAACATCTAAAACAGAACCATTATGCTTTAGTCTGTTTTCTGTTGCTATAAGAAAACACCTGAGGTTTGTACTTTTATAAAGAAAAAAGGTGTCTTGGTTAATTTTCAGTCATTGCTGAGACAAAATACCCAACACCCAAATTAAAGAAGGAAAGGTTTATGTAGCTCACAGTTTGTAGAGGTTTCAGCCCACAATCATCAGGCTCCAAGACAGGGTGGCATGGCTCAAAGGCAACGGTGTGCAAGGTGGTAGAAGACAACAAAAGCAACAAGTGCAAAAGGAAGGAACAAGCCTCTTTTCCTCCCTTATATTGTAAGCAGGCTACCCACCCCCAGGGTGGGTGAAGCACTCACACCATCTCCCTGTCCTCTTCTTGCACAGGATGAGGATGTTTACAAAGTGAGGACCCTGGCTCCCTGCTGAGTCACTTAGTTAAACTTCTAAACTCCTCAAGTTGACACAATAAACAACATCCCAGAGCCATAAGGGCATGTCCTCTACACCCC